GGAACCTTTATGGACAACATTTGTCAACAAAATTCTATGTGATTACAGTGGAACCTCGGTTTTCATGATTAATCTGTTCGAAAAAGTCCAGTGAAAACCGAATGTGCGAAAACTGAAGCAATATGTCCCATAAGAAATAATGTAAATCCAATTAATCCGTTCCAGACACTGAAAAATATTAACAAAAAATACATTTTATAGAGAATAACTATATTTTTACATATAGAAAACAATGATAAATATAAATGACTAATGAAATGGATAAATGAACATATAACATCACTTTTACCACTTTGACTCTTGTTGCCATATGGAAGATGGCGAGGAGGGGAGAGGGAGGAGGAGAGGTTATTGTTTGTAAGGGGATTCACCCTCCATAAGGACTTCATGTATCCACGCCCTATCCGGGGTTACTTCGGGGTTTATTTAGCAGTCACAGCAAGCACAAAAAACAATGGCAGACTGAGTCTCGAACGCATTGGATGCTTTGTGTGGGTGCTCGATTCCGGGAAATGAGTGGCCGAGTCACACGGGCAGGCGGACAAGTTTGGTACGGACTAGTGACGCTGAACCGACCAACCAACTGTACAAAAACAAAGCGGATGTACAAAAACTGGGACAAAATTCACGAAAAAAGTCGTTGAAAACCGAATCGTACGAAAAGTAGGGCATACGAAAACCGAGGTTCCACTGTACATGTATAGCTAAAACAATCATTTGGTGTGTAGTTACTCTTTAACTGACATATGTCAGCAAATCCTCATATTTGGCTTTTACTCAAGAAATTACAGAAACCATTAACCAGAGATCAAAACATGATTACATTTCTGGGTGCTCCGGATAGCCAAGCGGTTTGGTTGGGTCTCCCGTAACAGTGCACACTGGTATGTGCAATGTCTGCCACTCTGTTGCAGGTAGTCGCAGTCTGTTTCAGCCCTGCTCTTTCACCAAATTTTCCTGGGTGAATTGAATTAATCAAACTCCTTAAAATTAGCATTCCCAGTGACAGCCCATAAAAACACACACAAAACCTAAAAAAAAAAAAAAAACACAACTAAATTTTATTCACAAGTGTAGTTGTGTTAAGACATCTTGTAACCGAACAAAAGCATGGCCACTCACATATATGGATCCAAGTTGTGATCTGTCAGAGTCAAACATCTGGTAATAATGCTGCACGAAGCTGGATCCTATCTGCTCCCACAGAGGCTGGTCCACCATCCTGAATTACCGTGCAACACACACTGGGAACATAGAGAATTAGGAGGAGAGCAGTCATAAACACAGGTGGGACCCAGAAAGGAATGGCAATATGTGGGTGAAAAATGCAAAAATGACAATAAGCTAAACCTTCCCAGTCACCCACATCTCAACCCATCTGAACACCTATGGGATACTCCCCATCAACTTACAGTCAGGTCCATAAATATTGGGACATCGACACAATTCTAACATTTTTGGCTCTATACACCACCACAATGGATTTGAAATGAAATGAACAAGATGTGCTTTAACTGCAGACTGTCAGCTTTAATTTGAGGGTATTTACACCCAAATCCGGTGAACGGTGTAGGAATTACAACAGTTTGCATGTGTGCCTCCCACTTGTTAAGGGACCAAAAGTAATGGGACAGAATTAATTCATTTTCTACCGTTTGTTCCCTAAGCTGACAGTCTGCAGTTAAAGCACATCTTGTTCATTTCATTTCAAATCCATTGTGGGGGTCTTCAGGACAAGTCTCGGGCTGTCCCTGTGTGGCCCAGCCAAATCAAATTAAATTTATTTTATTTATATAGCACTTTAAAAACAACATCCAGCTGACCAAAGTACTTTACATGGCAGAATAAAATTACAATAAATGACTAAAATAGAATAAATAATATCAGCGCACAAAATAAATAAAAATAAAACAGCACAATAACACAGACGACATATGTTCAATAAATTAAAATTAAAAGGAATGCATCAGGCCCTAAGGGGCTTCAACAGTAAAAGCACAGTCACCCCTGCATTTATATCTGGCCCTGGGAACCTCTACAAGAAACTGACATGAAGATCTGAGGGACCTTGAACACTAACTCACTAATGCACTAATTCAGTGAGGTAAAATGGAGCCAAACTGTTAAGAGCCCTAAAATCAAAAACCAATAACTTAAAATCAATTCTAAAACGGAATGGAAGCCAGTGGAGAGAAGACAGTACCGGGGTTATATGGTCGAATTTCCTGGTACTTGTCAAAAGAAAAGCCAAAGCCCAGACCTGTCAATTATGTCCATTTTAAATGAAATCTATAACACAAACCAATATATAGTTAAAGCCTATACAGATATATCCTTATGTACAAACTAGTAGTGTCAAAACAAGGATTAAATATATACTATGCACATCTCAAACACTTCACAGGATATCAACCTCTGCTTGAAACAGACGTGCATCCATTTATTTCAGGTCAAATTTAATTAGTTAGTAATGCCGGCCACAATGTCAAACTTACTGTGGACTAAAAGTGCCTACATACCACTATACCGAGAAAAACAAAACTAGTTTAAGTAAAAACGCGTATTCGTATTTTGCTGAACTGGTGTTGTATCGATATGCATTCCTCCCTCGAGATGTGATCTCCTTAGATCTTAACCCTAACACCTAACCTACTCCTTAACCTGAACCCCAACTTTACCTGATCCTAACACCTAACCACCTAGGGGGATGCTGCAAGAAACCCAGTTTTTAAACAGGGGAGAACGCATATCGACCATACCCGGAACGTTAGGTCTCCCCACTTGGGTGTCACTGACAGTCATGTGCTTCCACATAACGATACACTGTTATTACTGTAACAGTCTGAGAGCTCTGTAAATTAGCTGCCAAATCGAAAAAACATACCATACACACCGACAGTACACACATGGTTCTTGGTCGTAAACACAGTTACAGCTAGAAAAAACGGCAAAATAAGCAAATTTAACGTTTATAAATAATAATAATAATAATAATGGACAAACCTCATTTGTGGCTAGTTAACGCTAGCTAACTAGCTAGCTTCTATTAGCTTGTGAGCTGTCTTGTTTGCTAACGTTTAGAACGACGGTTCATATACCTAGCATGTCTCTCCACCAGCTAATATTACACACTAGATAAATTAGGTTCAGGAACTTGCAAACTGGCTGGCTGGCACTGGCCTTTTGACCGGTTGCTAAAAATACCCAGTCCCCTCCAAGTGTTGATGTCTCCTCCGGGCCCACGCACACAGCTCTGGAACCAAGAGCAGCTACCCTACATAGGCGTGCCCAACGTTAGTCCTAAACAAGACAGGAGCAGCCAATATAAGTACTTGTACGACCTTGTTCTTGTTCGAATGTCAAACTAAACTAGTACCTTCTGTTTTCGCACATGTTTCCATTCACTATTCAATAAGAGAGTTTCCTAAAAATAAGTAATAAAAACTTACCTCTTACCAACACGGAGGCCGGCTGCACGAACAAGCAATACAGTTCTAGCAGTTTTCTTCTTCTTCTTCTTCTTCTTCTTCTTCTTCTTCTTCTTCTTCTTCCTCTTCCTCTTCCTCCTCCTCCTCCCTCTACCCCCCCTTCTTCTTCTTCGTCGTCGTCGTCTTCTTCTTCTTCTGCTTCAACTAAGGTTTATTGATGGCTGGCAAACAACGAATCAGTGCATTACCGCCATCAACTGGTAAAGGAGTGTGGGTCAAGAAGTCCGTGTTAATGACTAAAACATAAATACATCAGGGGCGCCGCTAGCAGTTTTGGGCTCTATGAAAAAAATTGAAGTTGGGCCCTCTACCCACAGACTGTGGGCCCCCAAAGTTTGTGGGCTCTTAGAATCGTCCTTAATAGTATTCTCTCAATTAACACAGTTATTCTAAGGTTCTGGAACAAAAACTGGTAACATATTTCCTATATCTATTAGATCAGAAGGCATTTTTATCCCTCTAAGTTTCTGAATTAGGTTTCTTCTTTGTGTTTCATAGTTCTGACAGTGTAACATGACATGTTCTAATGTATCTTCATGTCCACAATATTCACCATGGCCTGTATTATGTTTCCCTGTTTTGAATAGTGTTACTGTTACTGTTAAGCCCAGTATGTCCAAATCTCACTGATACCACTATCTTATCTCTTCTGCTTCTTCCTGTACCTGCAATTCATACTAGTTTTTTATGAATCTTAATATGAAGCAAATTTTTAAAGTAGTTAATAGTAGTAATGTATATTTCAGTAATGCTGTATAAATGGAGTACAATACAATACAGGTTAGCTTGACTGATGACTCTAAATTTCACATAGGTGTGAATGTGAGTGGTTGTCTGTCTAATAGACTGGCAACCTGTCCAGGTTGTACCCCATCTCTCGCCCAGTGTTAGTCGGGATTGGCTCCAGCTCCAGAGTAACCCTGTACAGGATATGCGGTATAGATAATGGATGGATGGATGATGACAGTAATTATATGTATAATATCTTAATGCTTCTTCTATCATTGGTTTACATTGACAAAATAAGACAGCTTGTTACCAACCAGGTTAAGCATATTAACACAAACCTTAGCTATTTTAGCTGTAATTTTTCAAAAATCACTTACCAAAACCAGAGATGCTCTGTATACACACTCAAATTAAGCATGTCATTTCAGCA